TTAAAGGGTTAACAGTTTTGACTACTTTGGTTTTGGTTTTGCAACAATCAATTGAAAACTGCTCTAAAGTAACTGCAACCAAAGAGAGCAAACTGAGTCTCACCAACTTAGATGGTTCTTTAATAAAGCCAGCAAGTTCTGCCACCACCATACTAAAGTTGTGTTCACTAAGGCTAATAATGCAGTTCTTGATATGCTCTGTACTTTCATGATTTTTCTGAGAACGTGTTGATTCAAATGGAAGCTGTAATATAAAAAGATTACAGTATCAGTAAGAAAATCAAAGTAAGTGCACCTCTCTTAAAACCAAAATTTAACAATAACTTGAGAACACCAATTTTGTTCCCTTTACCAAATAATTAATTTTATAATTATATTAAACAGATATTTAGAGAGGTATGGGGTTATTCAGAAATCTTTCCCTACTCTTTTGCTTAAGTATCCAAGTTCAGCCATGGAAAGTTTGCCCATAAAATCTCCATCTGAATGGTTTGTGCAAAAGTTAATAAAAGTAAGTTGACCGGAGATTAACTCTTACACTTCCAGGAGTAACCAAAAATAAACTTCTCCTCACAATGCCCATACATTTTCAAGCTGATAGGTAAGGAGAGGTGAGGAAAATATCAACTACATCAAATATCTTTGATTTCATATCAAATTCTCTGATCTTAAATTATAACAAATGTATAGCAAACATTTTAGAGAATCGATATCTCAATCTTAGGAGAGAAAAGGTTTTAGTTTAGAAAGCTGAGGTTGATTTGATCATGATGCGTGGGTACATAAATTGACAGGTGAATTGGTAAACAGACGCCCACTTAATAGAAACGCTCCTGAATCAACTGTAAAAACATACAGATTGTATCTGTGGTATTACTTTTGATTACAAATAAACCTGGCTATTATTGTTACAAAAGAAATCATACTACGTGTAGTTGTAACATCATGTTATCATCAAAACGACAATTTGCAATATAATTTCTGCAAACCACAAAATACCATCTCGCTGTCAACTATGTCGCATGACGCAATGCCGCATAGTAAGTCATTCTCCTCGATAAATTATTTCGTGAATCATTTATAAGTAAAGAAAGAGAATCAGTCAAGCATGCAAAGGTGAGATATAACGAACTGGTTCCAAATAAATTATACGCAGAGAGAATATTCAAGCGAGCATTCACAGACAATTATCCGATAAGTTAACAGTATTCCCTCGTCTTTTATCTAGATTATTTTAACGATAGGAGAAAAGGCAAGTTGAACCTCAGTGTGTGTTAAAATTCCATCGCCCTGGAAATAATGCAATCAAGTGAGCAATATCTGGTGCGTGTAATTCCAGAGCGGATAATGAGTAATCTTATACGTATTGTTGGCATCAATGGAATACACGACACTTCATGAATGAAAACACTTCGATTTTCAAGATTTACATGCTCTAAAGGTGATCATGTCAAGAAATAAAGTTCAGAAATCTATATTTCGACCAAGTAATATTAACACAACAGAGATCCAAGCTTGCTTTGAACATAAACTTTCAAACAACCGTTACGAGTCGGACACCTAATCTCACCTGAGCTCTAAATCGGCGCAACACAAGTTTGACCCACTCATCCGACTTATTTTCCCGCTGCATGGTTTATAATTATGTTAAGGATTTTAACAGTGACCACAATTATCTTCCACATCGTTTACGATCGTCCTGAACTGCGGAGTATGTTAACTGCTGTCTTGAGCTAGGAGGTCCAAGCAGCGGAAATACGTTTGGCTAAGTCTTTCCAAATATGGGCATGGGCGCGTTGCGGCGCCAAGAACGACAACTTCCGGGAAGATATTTACTTTGTAAAGTTTCGCAATATCGGACTACAAAATGATCGAGAAAAAATTGTATACCCCTACAAAAAGTGATGTAGGATGAAGCTAATCTCTTTAGGCACGTCAATCCCAATTTTTTTTTTTAAAAAGTCGATTGCTAAATAAAGAGGAAACCGGAATTTTTTATTTCATTAAAAGTATTTCATGCATGGCTACTTAATAATTATTCGTGATTTTAATTGTTCGAAACGTGTACACTTATTTTAACCACCGCAAAATGTCAGTAGTTGACTCCACTTAAGAGTCACTTTTTTTTTAAGAGTCACTTGCCCATCTGAGTTACGGTCAATGAATAGGGCAGAAACCAAGAAAATATCGTCAGTTTCGCAATCAGAGCAATCCACTTCTAAACACCTCCTTATCTATCAGCAGCTAGCTCCTTCCTTGTTCTTCTTTCACTTTGCTCACGCTTCGTTGATATGAGCGCCGGGGAGCGGAAATGAGCTCGGAAGGAGTGGGTATTATTGCTTCTCTAAACATTTTATGAAAAATTAAGAATTTGTAAAATTTTATAAAAAAGTAAAAAATGTGTTATCCAAGTGTCAATTACAACATATGAAAGCAATATAGAGCTGGACTCGAGTAAATCTCCACTAAATCAATATATAAAAATGCTCATTTAGTTTGTGCGGGTCCCTTGTCGCTGAAATACCCAACCTAAGTACCATTAGACTACGAGCAGTCCCTACGTTTCGCTTACGTCCGTCGTGCCCGAAAACTCAGTGGAAAAAAATGATGTTAGCGCACTCCGCAGAAGTCTACTTTTCGTGTGCCTCAGCCCCTAGAGTTCTGCGCGGCGTGCTAACATCACTCTTTTTTTTCAGAGTGACTGTTAGTGGTCTAAGGTGGTCTAAGTTATTTCCATACACCTGTCAGCAACCTCTCCACCATGTTTTTCCCAAAGAGGAGCCCATCCGCGTGGTGGAAATTTGTCCGCTGCGTCATATTTTTTCTGGGAGTGCGCGCTCAGGAAAGTCAAAAGCACGTCATGACTTCGCGTCACAAAGGAACGCAAAAACGCAAACAGTTTCACAATTGGTGAGAATCAAATCGCGCCACGATGGGAAACTTACAGTCGATGATTTGCGTAAATCGCAAGAACCTTGGAGTCGAGAAAACAATCAAAGAGGAGATAGAAGAGACACCGGTGGTTGAGATCCATCTCAACTGCCCTTCAAATACGGGCTCATCCCATTCTCAGCGGGAGCTAAGGAAGGACATTGACACCGCAGAGGCGGTAGAGTCATGCAGCGTTGAAACTATCGAAATTAAGTCTTATTCCTGCACCGATGATGAATGGTCATCAGATTCATTATCAAGTCAATCAGAAGACGATTGTGATACGACAAGTGATGCACACGAGCATCAAGAGGAATCCTGCACCATGGAGGTCCGCGGGAAGAAATGTTTTCCCAGACACATGGAAATAACTGGATTGGGCCAAGAAACCGATTATATGGATTCTTATACAATCGCACCGGTTGAAAGTCACACAAACTGGAGAAATGAGAGATATTCAGTGCAAGGTAAAAATTCTAATGATGGATACAGTTTCATGGCAAGAGAGTATCTGGCATCATCAGCACCTAGAAGAGCTCGTCAAATTTCATTTCCCGCTCCCCGCCCCTCGCAGTGGCAATGGATGTATTCCAAGATACTCAAACCAAGGGAGCAGCTTGCCAATGAAAGCTTAAAGATAAAGCAACTGAGGAAGGAATATGTGCATCGAGAAGACAGGGCAGGCGCTAGAAGTGGACGGCTAATGGAGAAGATAAGGAAAACGGTGAGACCAAATGCGACCGAAGATTCCAACAGCGATCCGAGCAGCCGTGGAAGCTTGAGCCCGCGGTCATCCTCTGCCGATTCTGTCACTCACAAAACTTCATCAACAGAAAGAAATGACCACACGACCGGGAGATCTCGCAAGTTTTTTCGAAGGAGAAGTAACAAAGTCGCTCCAGTCTAAGGAGATGACAAAGACTGAATGCTCTGGGGCCATGCGGTCGAGAGTTAGGAAGCAATCGAAAAACAGGCGCAGAATATTCGGATCTCGCATCCGGAAAATACACACTCAAAACACAGTTTCTCGACACTTAGTTACTCACTGTACCATAAGACAAATAAAGCGCTTAATGAATTTGCCAATGCGGTGGTTTTATTATGTATTCAATATTGTACAAAACATACGATTCAAAACGTTATGCGTTTAAAAGTAAAATGGAAAATCTTGGGTAGCCTTCACACGAAAGATCTTGCGCAGCCTAAAATGCAAATGAATTCTGAAACTTTCTTTCAGGGAAACTCGATGATTTGTTCAGGTTTATTTCAGGGGCTAAAAGAGGATCAAGAAAAAAAGCTGTGGGGTATCTTCCTTATTAGGCTATTCCAGTTACGAAAATCCCCAGACTTAAACATACGCACGAAATACATGCACCGTCTTGTGACAAACAATTGCGCCAAATACAGGCATCATTGTTACCAAAACATCATTACCTAAAGCTAAAATGCGCCATCGGAAGATTCCAAAAGATTAGAAAGGCCTTCAAAGGGAATTCGATATTTCAGCTTGATATGCGAGTCTCTAGACTCCACGAAATTACTCATCTTATACAGAGCTACTTTTAATTGCGACGAAAGCAATCTGAGCTCGAGATTGCATAGGTTTAACTTTTCTTTGCTCCGTGATTGGTCTACAACACTCTATAAAACCCTCTTATCCAATCAGATACAATCAATCACAACGGTATGAAGTCCCAACACAACCCAAGCGAAAAAACGCAGAGTACGAGCAGTCCCTCCTTTTCGGCGAAGTCCTATGCTTTAGTAAAAAAAAAAAACAAAACAAAAAAAAACGGTGAAAAAAGTGAATGTAAGCTCGCCACGCGAAACTCTTAGGGTGAGGGGTGAGGGGTGAGGGGTGAGGCGCCTCACGTGCGCCCTTCCTCTTCTTCTTATTATTAATTCCTTCCTTTTTTTTTTGACTCCGGGACGGATCTCGCCGAAAAGCAGCGACTGCTCGTATTCTAGAAAGCAAAAAAATGGGCAGTGCAAAACTTTGTTACACTGACTATGATCAAAAATGTTATTTAAAATCGTAAACTCTGTAATTCCAGAGTTATGACAGTCACCAGAGCTAAGGTAATGATGGGTAAAGTTTGGAACTTCATAACTCGTCCAAGTCAGTTCAAAGTTTGTCAAAAGCATGTCCTCATTATTAAACCGTGGCAAATTCATTATCTTAACATTTGTCCAAAATGAGCAAACCTATCTGAGTGAAACGTTCTCTTTTCGATCTTCCGTAGTTTTTTAACGGTTTGGACCAAATCTTCAAGATCGTCTCGTTT